GTATAATTATTTTACTTAATCATTAATTCAAAAACTTGTTATAATTGTTTGTAAAATGTTACACAACTTTTTGTTCACAATAATGTAATGTACAATTATATTACGAGATTCACACTTAGCGTCAAGTATCCTCGAATATTGGCATTACCCATATAGCACAAATGTCCGAAATACATCCCAGAGACATCCCAGAGATATCACATTGTCTCTGGAACGTCTCTGGAATGTATTTCAGATATTTGGTGCTGTATGGGTATTTATAACCCAATACTGGGTTTGTACCGAAGCCAAAGTTTGACTTGTCTTGCAGCCTTTACTGGTTCCAGATCTATTTTATTGTATTAGTTCTTTGTATAGCCAGATCATCAATTGGTACCGGGACAAGATTGGTTGCCGACTTTTGGCTGCCGATATTGGACCAATGTTTGGCCAGTTTAACTGATTTGGCAATTTCTACGTGGGTGCCAAAATATACGCTGAATATTCTTTATTGCACATATAAGTAGTATTCATTAAATATTCTAAATATTTTATGATTATTTGGTCATTCAGTGAATATTTTTTTACTATTCTGATATACAAAAAACTTTTGGAATACGATCAGAATATTTTAGGAATATCTAGCATTTATTGAATACAGTAATCGTAATATATTTTACAGCGATAAATAGTTGTAATATATTTTACAAGGTTAGTAAATTGGTTGGTAAAATTACGTGCCGTCTAGTGGTCAATAAAGTAAAAGAACGACATCGATGACGAGAACAACGAAAACGATGAAACGAAAACTTTGGTGATTTGGGACTTTTTGTTAGAACATTTTCTTCCATACTTACTGTCTTACTTAATTACTTACTCACGTACTTACTGTCACACCATATATTTGCATAACGCGAGATTATTTATTAAATTTTATTAAATATTTTTCAATTAATAACAATTGAATCAAATCCGATATGGTAAAAATTTGAACAATTTTAGGTGGTTTTGTAAATAAGTAGAAGAACTTTGTATTCAGTTTGATCTAATTTACATCTATATTTTTCCATCTATTAACAGACACTTTATGTAATTGTTTTGAACGTATTCAAAAAAGTTCTTATCTAAGATCAATATTTTTTGGTGTTAACTAAATTTTTTCTCAGTATAGAATTATTTGAAAAATATATTAATGATATTAATCCTAGCAAACTAACATCCTAAATCCTAGTTAAAAGTAACAATTATATATAATTGTTAGTTATAATTTCCCACTCAACAATATAACTGTTATATAACAGTTATATATAATTAACTAAATTTTTTCTCAGTATAGAATTATTTGAAAAATATTAATGATATTAATTAATGATATTAATCCTAGCAAACTAACATCCTAAATCCTAGCTAAAAGTAACAATTATATATAATTGTTAGTTATAATTTCCCACTCAACAATATAACTGTTATATAACAGTTATATTGTTGAGTGGGAAATTATAACTAACAATTATATATAATTGTTACTTTTAGCTAGGATTTAGGATGTTAGTTTGCTAGGATTAATATCATTAATTAATATCATTAATATTTTTCAAATAATTCTATACTGAGAAAAAATTTAGTTAACACCAAAAAATATTGATCTTAGATAAGAACTTTTTTGAATACGTTCAAAACAATTACATAAAGTGTCTGTTAATAGATGAAAAAATATAGATGTAAATTAGATCAAACTGAATACAAAGTTCTTCTACTTATTTACAAAACCACCTAAAATTATTCAAATTTTTACCATATCGGATTTGATTCAATTGTTATTAATTGAAAAATATTTAATAAAATTTAATAAATAATCTCGCGTTATGCAAAGAATAGTTACGTAACTAACAGTTATATAACTATTACTTGCTGTTTGTTGGGATTTCTCTCTCTCTCTCTCTCTTTCTCTCTCTCTCTCTCTCTCTCTCTTCCTCCCTCCCTCTCTCCCTTTCTCTCTCTCTTTCTGCCTCTCTTTCTTCTCCTCTATCTCCCTTATTCTTTTATTTTACTGATATTAGAAACTAATTAAAATAATAGTATTATTATTACTTCGCTCTATACACATACGCGCACGTGCATGCATACATACAATATAACACAACATACACACAGAGCAACATAAAAACAGGAAAGAATATCAATGAAATGTAGAAATCCAAAAATATAATATGTTTGCATATGACTTATAAATGAAACATTAGATGCGTTCAACGAACATAACGGTTGCATAACAGTTGAGTAATTCGTTAACATAACTGGTCTAGATTTAGAAATCTAACAGAGATCTAAAGACTAATAATCACTGACTGCTCACTGACTCATTTTGTTCCGCTGAATGTAGCCATTAGCGTCATTCATTCGTTTTGTCGAGATCTCAGTGAGATTATTCTTATAGAAATATCATACTAAGAATCATTGATAATTACTTATTATCCAGTATTTTTGATACTGAAAATAAGTAATTATCAATGATTCTTAGTATGATATTTCTATAAGGGTAGTGACGATAAAAAATATGTGTTTTACCTGTGAAAGGAACAGGAATAGTTATTCACGAAATACTATCCACACATTGAGCTCTGATATTATAGCTTTATATCGTAGCTTAAGCATAATGTATTCGCGCCACGAGATGGATCTTATTTCGCAACAAGCTGTATGAATGTTGCACATGTACTAATGTCGAAATATACTAAAATTTGTACTCGTACGGGAGTGAAGAACACTATTCTCTTCGAGTACATGTATGTTTACAGATAGAAATCGAGATGGTGACAACTACAGTGGTGGTGGTGGTGGTGTTGGCTACAATGGTGGGGTTTATTTAGTGACTGGAAGCTTGCTCCGGCCGAGAACGGCGGTACCATTCCTGCCGTACCGCTCACCTCGCAACGATACGTCTATCTCGCCCAGAGAAGGTACAGTGACGGGCTCGGTTGAACGCGGCCACCTGTTGCACCAATGTGTAGTCGACGCTGAACAGTTACGATCGTGAGTCGGTCTCAAACACAAGTTCCGTTCGTCCGATTACTCGTCGAGTGAACTGTAAGATTGATGAGAAGCGGTTTCAAGGCAACAAATTTCTAATATAATTGTATGTTCAGTACGTTTTCTTAATTATTCTAAGTCGCAAGTTAGTTATCTTTATTGGTATCGTGCTTTGGATATATAAGAGTTAATGACAGTGGGTGATAACGTGAAAAATACACCGGTACGAAAGACATGCAAAGGAAATAAACATTAACGCATAATATATAAACGTATAATATATAAACATACGCAAACATATTTGAGACTTAAACATATTTGAGAGACGTTTAAAATGATAGAAAATAATGTGTAATATTTAATAAATAATAATTTAATATTTAATAAATAATGTGTAATAATTAAAAATCGAATTTTTTTGCATAATATAAAATAACACCACGTTTCATAAAGATGTTTAGAAATTTTGAATATCCTTAAAATCCTTTATATAATTTTTGAAATGCTCGTATTGTTTCAAATAGAAATCGACATTATATATAAAAATAATCATGATAATGATGACTATCAGTGATAATTGAGGCTCACTCCAATTATGATATATTAATATTTACCAAATCCGTACGATATCGTAAAAATTAGTTATCGTTCGTATGTTTTTTCTTCATATATAATTCGGATGTGAAAATAATCATCGGTACCAAGTCGATGATGTGTCGTATAATTTATTTAGATTTATATGCAGTAATAAAGTACATTCAGCAAACATAGAATATAACTATTATAAAATATAACGTAAATAACACGTAATATAAGGTAAACTCGGATAAGATAATCATATTTTTTTTAAATGCAAAAAAATATATTTCTTATTGTTATTTCTTAATAGCGTTTGGCATATTACTTTACTGAAACCTACAATACATAATAATATCAGAGGGAAAATACTTCATTTTTTTTTAATTATTTATTACAAAAATATCAAAACATGGGTTATCAAAGCATTGGTCATCTTATCTAAACTTTTCACATAAGATGACCATAACATTCAGGAAGACTATATATAGGAACAACCCATACATATTTTATGTTCAAGATGTACCTATTATTTTATAAAATAATAAAAAAAAACATAATTTGACATATTTATTTTAGTATAGGATATTTAATTCATATTATTTGTGAAAAATACACATAAAAAATAGAATTTTATATTATAAAACTTAAATTCTAAATGCAATCTTTTGATCAAAACATATTACACATAAGATTTAATTATTGTAATATTAAAAATAATTTTTGAAACATAACGACTTTCGTTTTATAAATGTTCATAGAATGATAGTGACCCATCTTATTCAAAATGTGAATGAAAAACGACCATAATATTTATAAACAAATAGTGAAAACGAAAATAAAAACTGTATGTTATATATATACAATTTACAATCTACATATCTTTTTTATGTATCTTGATACATTGATTGCGATAGTTTAATTGTAATTTATTCGACGTTACAGCAAGTTTTAATGGACACATGAGAAATTTTACAGGTAATCGAAAGTAAATATATAGTATAATATATATAATTTCGAAAAATATATGTACATACACTATGATAAATATCGATTACCTATGTGACTGATTACACAAATGTTACAGTGTATACAAATGTATACAAATGCATACAATGTTTTGTAATTATTAGAGAAATTACAGCCTATGGCTTATGGCCATCTTTTCCGGTATAGCCATAATACGAGTTTATTCTAGTTGTTTTTGCATTATTAATATCAAGGCTATTTAATTTTCTTTTATAATAGCAACACTTTGTTTTAAAATTAATATATTGTTTTGTTATAAACTGATTATAACAGTATAACAGCAACATAACTTAAACATAACATATAGTATAACAAGTTTAGTGTTTATATTATGTTTATATTATATAATATATTATATTATATAATATATTATATAATATATTATGTAATATATTGTATTTATGCAATACATCTGCGTAAGTGGTGCATTCTAACAATAAATTATATTTTATGTTTTAAAATAGAGATTGATGTGAAACATACAGTAAGCTTTAATAAAATCTTAGCTCTTAACCTTATTTATGTATTATCACAACTTCTTAATCGTTCTAATCATTTTTTCATCTTTTCTGGACATAATATGATATGATAAGATATTATATTTCAAACCGTCAATAGCGAATAATCGACATTTACAATCTATACACTTAGTTTCTCGATACGGCTTGAACATATTTTATGCAGTTTAGGACGCAGCGAATGGTCTAACGAAAAAACTTATTTTTTATTAACTCTCAAAAATTAAATTCTCTCATCGGCTGTATTTCAAACTACATCGAAAAAAAGTTCAAATATTTTAGAGGTTTTGAAATAGAATATATAACATATATTTAAACAGAATATAAACGTTTAAAAAGACATAAGTTTGTAATGAGTTTTAATCTAATAAATTTTAAGGCATTTTTATGTCGGCATTTTTAAATCGAAGTTTGATATACGCGTAAAGATAAATGCATAATTTATATGAAACAGAAAAACATTAATGACTGCACATTTTAATTGTTAACAAAATTATATAACTTGTGATATAAATAATATCGTATATTTAATTTTATAGTTTTGTGTGGAATCAGAGAAACGGTGATTGCGAAGACTGCAAAAACGAAGAAATTGTTTGTCAACGAGCAACAACCAAAGAAACATTAAACAAGGAAAAATATTGCTGACAGTGCCCGAACAGCAAGAATGTCTACTTCGCTAAAATTAGCAGATGATCAGCGGTTCGCATTAATGAAAGTAAGTTTTAAATTGAGAAATAACCCGTCCGAAAAAAATTTGAAGGTTCGGTATCGCGGACAAATGATGTTTGAATTAATTAATAACTAAGAAATGACTTGATAATTATAACAAATGGTGAGAATCAAAACAATTGTCACCATAATTTAAATTCTAACGTTTAACGACATCATGAGAGCCAATATATTCAGATAGCACAGATAGCACAGATATTTTTTATGAATATTTGTATGAAGTATACAGGATGTCTCAAACTCTCTTCCACAATTTTTGTAGGAACGTAGAACGAGTGGAAGTTCTACATAAAAGCAAATAACATAAATGAAACAAAATGAACATAAATGAAAGAAAATTATTACATAAATTGTAAAGTGAACGTAAATGAAATAAAACTGTTGCATGATTGTGTGCGATAATGGATAAATCTTCTTTAATTAATATCTAAAAATCTATGTGATCATTTGCAAAATTATATAAATTTATTGCGAATATTGCAAAATAGTATGGGACTTTTATGTCCACCTCAATACGTTCTATGTTTCCACAAAAATTGCGGAGGAGAGTCTGGAACATACTATATATGTTCCAGACTATATATGTGTATACAAAGTGTTCCAGACTATACATGTGTATACAAAGTGTCCCAGAATAATTTATTAGAAAAAATATAAAGGATTTTTTTGTTCAGTTTAACCTACAAATACATGATAGCAGATAACGCTACTACAGCTCATTTACCATATTTCGTGTGATCATTTACAAATTTTTTTAAATTATTATTGCGAATATCGCAAAATGATATCAAACTTTTATATTTATCTTAATTTGTACTATGCCTCCACGAGAGCTTCGAAAGTTGTTCTGGGACATTTTGTATATATGTACTTCTATAGGATGTCCCATTTTAAAAGATGCACCTTGATAATTCTTCAGCCAATCATAACAGCAAAAATGTTTCAAACAAAAGTTATATGGTTCGATGGAAGACATAAGAAGATATCATTGGTTTGACCTTGCGTGGCGCCGCCAACGTCAGGTTGAAGTCAACTTTACTTTTTTAAATATGTTTATTAAAGAATATATGTTTTATTACGGAATTTCATTCTATGTGAAGAAACAAACAACTTTTGTTTGAAAATATTTTTTATAGGACCTCTATTTTCTAAGATATTTACGGAAATATCTACAAAATTATTGGTTTCAATAATTTTTTATTCGAATTCTATCAACTTTACCGAAAAATAGCAACAGATAAAATTTTTCTGTTTTCTTCTCGCAGGACTCTGAAATTATTTTCAGAATTTTTTAATTAACCTTTTAGTACTGCATTTTGTTGCATTTTCTTGAAGTACTAAAACGTTCTGAAAAAATTCTCAGAGCTCTACAAGAAAAAAATAAACACTTTTTATCTCTTGTTATTTTTCAGTAAAGTTGATAGAATTCGAATAAAAAATTATTGAAACTAATAATTTTGTAGATATTTCCGTAAATATCTTAGAAAATAGAAATCGTATAAAAAATATTTTTAAACGAAAGTTGTTTGTTTCTTTACGTAGAATAAAATTCCGTAGAATAAAAAATATATGTTGGCGCCATAGAAGGTCAAACTAATGGTACTTTCTTATGTCCTCTATCGAACCATATAACTTTTGTTTAAAACATTTTTGCTAAATATGCTTGGCTGAAGAATTATCAGTGCATCTTTTAAAATGGGACACCCTATATATGAAGTACTGAAAACACTGTTATATCTTTACAGTGTGTTTATACTATATTCGACTACATAACATTAAATGTTCAAACACAATTATAAATATTCTATGAATGTGTGTAGAATTACATACAAAATGTAGTAAAAAATTGATCATTAATGTTATGTGCTTTTACAATTATAAAGGAATAATTTGAGTAATTCATTTCATAAATATGTGTTTTATTACTAATCTGTAATAAATACATGTTACTATTTAGAACATTTAGAAAACTTTTTATTTAGTTACATTAATATAATGCACATGCGCAACAAAAATTTTACGAATGCTCTAAGAAATGTTCTTTTCTATTACAAGTATACGATTTTTGTCTACATCAATGTATATTCCATAAAATATAACGTACCAATAACTATACCAGAACTTTTAGAATGTACCAATTTTATACATACATACATACATGCTTATATACATATATATATACAGGGTGTTCAAAAAGTCCCGGACCGGTGAAATATCTCGAAAACTAAGCATTTTAGAAAAAAATGTTTCAGACAAAAGTTGTGGCGTTTAAAAAGATGTATTTACTGATCACATCAGTTTGACCTTGGGTTGCGTAGCGAAGGTCAGGTCAAGGTCACATTAATTTTTTTAAATGGAACA